CTACTGGCAGGTTCCTCTAAGAGAAGAAGATATTCCTAAAACCGCGTTCACAGTTGGCCCAAATCATTACGAGTTTACTGTTATGCCCTTCGGCTTGACAAACGCCCCAGCCACCTTTCAGCGAATGATGACGAAACTTCTCCATGGGATGAGCGGCTGTCTGGTATTTATCGATGACATCATTATCTTTGCTGACACCTGGGAGGAACACCAGAAGATTTTGGAAGAGGTTTTGCATCGAATCAAAGCAGCTGGCTTGAAGCTCAAGGGAACGAAATGTCAGTTCGGACATGAATCGGTTCAGTTTTTGGGACATATTGTATCCGCAAGGGGAATCCATCCAAACCCAGAGAAAGTCCAAGCCGTACAAGATTTTCCGACACCATCTTCGTTGTCGGATGTCAGAGCATTTGTGGGAATGGCCTCCTACTACCGCAGGTATGTCCGTAATTTTGCGGATATCGCCGCTCCTCTGCATGAACTAACCAAAGGAGGCAGAGAATTTTGTTGGACACCAGCAGCACAGCAAGCGTTTCATACCCTAAAAACCCACTTATCCACTTCACCTATCCTTGCCTTGCCCAATTTTATGATTCCTTTCACTGTTTACACTGATGCTAGCGATTCTGGTCTTGGAGCAGTGTTGTCGCAACGTGTTGGTTCCAGCGAATATGTCGTTTGCTATGCTAGTCGGTCATTGACATCAGCGGAGAAGAACTATTCAACAACTGAGAAAGAGTGTCTGGCCATTGTGTGGGCCATTCACTACTGGCGTCCCTACCTACTGGGAAAGGCGTTTCAAGTGGTTACCGACCATCAAAGTTTAACTTGGCTTCAGGGACTAAAAGAACCCAAAGGTCGCTTAGCACGTTGGATCTTAACCCTTCAAGAATATGACTTTGCCATCGTACACCGCCCGGGTCGTGAGAATAGTAATGCAGATGCACTTTCACGGTCTCTTCTTCCAACTACAGTCGTCAGTCATCCTCATTTACCGGATGAGGAGATCGTCATCGGGGTTAGACCCACCCTTATTGAAACCGAATGGTCCCGGGAAGAGATTTGTCAGGCGCAGCACGATGATCCAGTTGTCTCAACTGTACTTCAGGCAAAGTTGAACACGCCGGCCGAACAAGAAGCTCCTAGTGATTGGACAGATGATAGTGAACTTCGTCGTTATCGGCAAGTCTGGAAACAACTGGAAATAATTGACGGTGTTTTGCATCGACGAGTATCAACAAGTGGTCGGAAAGATGGTCTCGTTCTTGTAGTTACTCGGAAAATGCGTGCGGATCTGTTGCGGCTCTCTCACAATGATCCTAGTTCTGGGCACATGGGTATTAATCGCTGCGTCGAACGTTTGCAGCCGTGGTATTACTGGCCTGGAATGACCAGCGAGGTGCATCTGTGGGTTGCAGAGTGTGACGTGTGCAACCAAAGGAAATCGTCGTCAGCATCCCACCGTTCCCCCATGGAGAACATCCGAGTATCCCAACCAATGGAGTTGTGGGCAATGGACATCTTAGGACCCCTTCCAATAACAGCACGAGGGCACCAGTATGTTTTAGTGATGAGTGACCACTTCACTAAATGGGTCGAAGCGGTCCCAATGGCTGATCAGAAAGCAGAGACGGTAGCTCGTGCGTTTATTGACAACGTAGTGTCTCGACATGGCGTTCCTGTGAAACTCCTCACTGACCAAGGTAGAAACTTTGAGTCGGAGCTTATGAAAGAAGTATTCAAGCTGTTGGGCGTTCACAAGTTGCGGACATCACCATATCACCCACAGACTGACGGCCAAGTGGAGCGGTTCAACCGTACACTGAAAGCAATAATCTCGTCCTACGTAAATGGTCATCACAACGACTGGGATTTACATTTACCCTTGGCTTTATTCGCATATCGAACAAGTGTCCATTCCTCGACACGCGTATCTCCATTTAAAGCAGTTTATGGGAGAGATGCTACTACGCCACTCGTGTTACTGGGCAGCACGGAGAAGCCCAAGACCCGGTTGATTGCCGACTACTGTGCTGAACTTGAGTTTACGCTGAGTCCACGCGACGGTTGCTGAGGAAATCAAGAAAGCACAGACCCAGCAAAAGAAAAATTATGATGCACGTAACACTGCTCATCAGACAGAAATTCTGAGACCCGGAGACATTGTATGGTTACATAGCACTGTCATACCGAAAGGACGCAGTAGAAAGTTCCACAAACCGTGGATTGGTCCGTACGTCATACTCCGTTGTCAAGGACGTTTAAACTATGTGATTCGTCCAAAATCGGGAAAAGGAAGGAGCTCGTGTGTGCACCGCAATCGACTCAAGCTGGTACAGAATCAGACGGATGACATTAACGAACAAGACATGCCATCTCCATTGTCGACCAAGAGCGAGAAAACCCAAGAGCGGAGAGTTTCTGAATCACCGATAGTTCACAAGGAAGTTGAGGCAACGAACATGGTACCTCTAAGGAGATCTACCCGTCAGCGCCGACCACCTGATCGTTACCAGGACTTTAATTTAGATGAGCTTGAGATCGAGGACGCTCTCACTTAAGGGGAGGGTAATGTAGTATACGAAGATGTCTAATGATTAATAAAGGTCGCGTGCAAGGGTCAAGAAAGGATATCGGATGACAATAACAAACGGGATTGCTAGACAATATACAGGACAAGAATATAGTGCATTGAGTGCAGGGAACTAGAATAGGATTTAATAAAGTGATTTGTTTATACTGCTTGCGTGTCGTGATATATTACAATTTCAAGGAGTCTGTATAATTAACTCCAAAATGTTATTCTGTAGTTGTTTTAGACCTTTTTGGTTACAAAATAAAACATTTTGAGTTGATTGAACTCCTTGAAATTTACAGTGTACACAGCTAAATTCACTTATATTGCCCTGGAAACGGTAAAAGGCAATTAAGACTAAAACAGAGCGGGCAAAGCCAAGCGAATAATGCAAATCCTTAATTTTTTAGCGCTGGCCTAACTGGTAGCTGTTCTGATAATGTATTTCAAGTAAATAACGAGCCCGTTCCCTCTATATAGTGGCGGATTTGTGTCAACATCTGCGACTTGCTCATTTTCAACCTCATATGTGCCCAATCTGCATGGACAGTTGGCCGTGTTCGCTGGTTTGCCAGGTTCGATGGTTCCCCTTGCTATTATGAGTCATGACTCTCCTTGATAGTCCAGGTAGAAAATCCTAGTGATTCTTTATCGATTCTTCTTTGCTTTCCCAGGCAAACTTTCGCACGTTGTACTGTTTCACCCTATAAGTTTCTTCGTCCATCTAGCTCACTTTTGTCGGATGACATGTACTCCATCGTCGGAGGCCATCTGCCACCTTTGACACTCTTTCCTGGCTCCAGTTAACTTTATTAAGATGTTTGAATGTTCTTGCCAGTTTCTAAAAATGAACACAGATAATATTAGCAACATTATATTGTATGGTAACAGCTAATTGAAAAAAGGTTATCCTTCGAAAACCTTAAACTCTAAGCACGCAAAGAGTTGGGTTTAGGGCTTTTGATTTGGCAAATAATCCTAGTACGCTGCTATAGTTGTACATTATACTGCTTATGATCTATCTATCTTGTCAGTTACAATACAAAATCCGCAAGTTTTAGGCCTAAGGCTAAGCAAGATAGGCCGGTAAGCAAGATCTCGCTCACACTGTGTAGTTATTTTTATAGTAAAAATTGCTGCGCATTTATATAGACAAGCGGGCTGCCAGATTGCCGAGATCTTGCTCGAAAGAGGCGAGATCTCGCTTACTGGGATGGAAATTTCTGCATATAAACTCTCACGAGCGAGCTATAGGCCGTTTTCCAGGATGAAAGTTCAAATATACCGCCGCAAGCTATTTTTAACTTACTGTCAAAACAATAAAATATATCAAACAGAATAACAAAATTGTCCCGGCAAGCGGGATGAATTTTTCTCATATAACCACAAGAGAAATTCATCCCGCATCAGCTGTCTGCAGGACAGTCTGGCTTCTATATATGCATGAACAGGCTACGAAGGCATTACCGTATTGAGGCACTCGAATGTATGAAATTAATACTGGCAATTTTAAGAAGCAGGTAATAATCAGTTGCATATAATATAATATAATGACTAATTCGGTGAATCCATTGTGCTGTATTTAGCTAAAAAATACTGGACTGACTGGACTATACAGTGATATATGTATATGTCATTGATTTTGAAAATGATTTCAAATTTGGAGCCACTATTTCAAATAAACTGTATTTTTATAACGGTCAAATGGACAAAGTTTTTTTATATCCATATACTGTACGGAGCAATGATTATGATGCATTGTCTGACAATTGTAAACGGAAATATACACTGTATAAATAAACGTTTCACATGTACTTACATTGCAAGCCTTGCCCTTGGGCACTCTCTGTATATTTTTTCCCGTTTGTCTGAGTGTCTGACTCGTCTCTCAGAATAAGATCGAGTAATGATATCCATCTTCTCGTTGAAATTCTTCAGCGCATTCTCACTCCCTGTACTTGTATTGGCTATTATTTTGTTCTCTAAGGAGCTTGTTTTCCTCTACGATATTTTGCAACAACAAAACATACTGGTCCAGTCATATCGAAATTACAGCTAGCAAGTATCGAACTGTGACTGTGACAGCTATAAAGGCCAGACGTTTATTGTAAAAGCAACGGGAATTGGACTTCGAACTATTGTTCACAGTAGGAATCTTTCGTAGTATCAGATTTCTTCTGTACACTAGGGAGGTCACCCACGTACAAATCAAATCCGCCTTCGTCCAAAAAGCAACGAGCAAAGTAAAAATTGGGCTTGTTAACATATAATTGAGTAATTCGCAAATTGATTCCATCCATAGTTCTTCTATAATCGTAAACGGCTTATGTTTACACCGTCAGATCGAGGTTTTATTACACAGCCTACAGGGGATCAGTTACCCGACCGGGAAAAGTTTAAAATAGCGCGCGCGGGAATATAGCATTCAAATTATACCTACATAGATCCTCGCAGCGACAGTTTAATACAACAACCTTCAATTCTGTAAAGCTTTGTGTGGTATACCTTGCGTGAAATGACGCATTTTAACCAGCATTCCCACACAGCGAGTGGCGCACTTGCTACCAGTGGAATGCGCAACCTTCTGGAAGCTATAATCCCAGTGCCTCCATAAGCTGAACAGAATTGTCAATTGTCTACCTACAAAATAGCGACGTCTCAATACCAAATTACACCGAGGAACGACGTCTTAAACGCAACAGACGTAATGAAAGTTTGTGCCGAGAAAGAGTTTGGAAATGCCAAATAAAGGCGTCTCACGAATAAAATAAAGAGTCAGATTGAGAACGAGACCAAGGCCGTATATCTCAGCTACGATCGAGGGCAGTGTATTATGACCTATTATTTTATTGGAGAAAGTGGAAATGCGAAAGATCCTTGTGTAGAACGACTAGCTGTGTGTAAGTACATGTAGAAATTGTATGTAGTTCATATACAAAATAAAGAAATTGTCTATCTGAAGCTGGATAGCTAAAAAATGATATACTCAGCTTCTGGTTTAGGTATTTTGCCTTTGGCGATAAAATTATATTTGTATATTTATATATGTCGATAGAATCAACTGTCCAAGCGAATTGCGCTGTCTATATAAGCGCCTAAATTCAGGTGATATAACGTATAACATTTCATGTTTATACTGTAATATTCAGCATAGCTAGATAATTCTGTTAAATTATCGACAGTGTGTGTCAGGTTTTGTCTTCATTTAAGATAAAACTAAACGTGATTAAATGTTATTTCTGCCTTTAGTCAACATTTAAACTGCGCAATAAAGGTAATTAAAGTATGTGCGGTTTAATGTTGGTTTTAACTCGCTTTAATATCCTCACTAAATGCAATTAAGTGTATCAGTTTCCAAAAGAGGTGTTTTATTCAGAGTAAATGCGATTAAATGTAACTTTTTATTTAACCATCTTTAGTCAGCTTATTAAAGGTGTAAACACACATTTAATATCTTTAGTATTTTTGCTAAAGCTGATTAATGACACGCTTTTCGTCCTGTGAATTGAACAACTTGCCGTTTTCTCGTTCGCAAAACGTCGGAAATTCAGTTTGAGCCGCCATTTTGTTTTTCTCTACTAGCAGGATATGAGCTAATATCCTGCTAGTAGAGAACCAATCAGATTGCAGAATACCTCATATCCAGACCTTGTGTATATAATAATTCCCTATATTCCCTTTGTTAACGTCGGCGCCTTTACTCCCTTCTTTTAGAAATTCATTCGCCTTGTTTTTCTCAAAAAGCTTTTGAAATTTACACTAAAATCTTGCAAAAATGAAATATATTTGTAAGAAATCATCAAAGCAAGAAATGTTTGCTATTTCGCTGTCGTCATGCATTCGTTATAATGCAAATTTTAAATTGGACCAATCAGTGTTCGCTATTCATGACAGTCCGCTATATTATGAGATCAGTGATGACCACCCACCCAACACCGAACCATGCACGGTAACCATAGAGATAATAGATACAGACTGCGTACTCCTATCTTTTCTCAGTACATTTGTTTCTACCAAGGAATTTCGCGCGGTTAAGTAAATTTGTGCACGCCGGAGCGGTGGCTGTCCAGTCAACGAAGGAATCGAACTAGTAAAGTGTTTTGATTGTTTTCTGCGGGATTTATTGTCAAATTTCAAATGCTCTGTCATTCAATATGTATGCATTGATCTACATGTTTGTTGCTATTGCCGACAGAAGCCTACAAACTCTTTTACAAAGTCTTAAACTGGTAAGACTAAACCGGCTACAAGTTACTCGTGGAAGCCATATAAAGCCATACCAGCTGGTTTTCTTCGAAAACGACGTTCATATCCAGTCAAGTATGATTTTTTTACCCAAGAACTGTTCTTTTCATGTGATGTGTTTACTGACTACGCTCATTTGAATGCATTGGTGTGAAGTCGATAGCCCCACGGTAGAAGAAGCTTCATTTTAGAAAATCTGTTTTTGGCTTAGGAAGGCTTAATTTTAAATTGTTGCTCCGTAATGAATAATTCAAGATGGTCACATTTACGAAACATTATTGTTAAGTAATTAGGCGCCATGTTTTTTAGAACTTTGAACATCATTGTTAGATCTCGTTTGTCCATGAGATTTTTTATTGGATGCGCGCCATTGAAGGGTTTCCAAAACCTGTGATCATCTAATACTAATAGTGTAGTCAGAACTAGTTATAACCCTCTCTTTTGTAATTTCCATAATTTATCGATATGAGATTTGTTATATATATCATGCCAAATACTAGTAGAGCAATAGTTAAAATGTGGTAAGACTATAATGAGTTATAAATTGTGACTAATTCTCCTTGTGAAGCAAAGTCTTTAGACTTTAGCTTTTCGTAAAAGGGCTATGCTTTTTGAGATTTTTTACATTGTTCATCATTGTGTCTGTTGCATTTTAATTGGTCATCAATTATGAGTCCAAGAACAGTTTTTTCCGTTACCCTTTTCATCCGATGTTCGCCATATAGTATATATCATTGGAGT